AATCTACGATATATCAAACGAAGTTGCATGCTAACTTCGTATAGCTTTTAACCCTTTTATATGTACATCCCTTATATACAATATGTATATTCCACACACACACATATATATATATATAAATATATGACTTAATGACTCGGTAAAAGTTCGTGAGCAGAATGGAGACTAGAAACGAGATAATCTGTCGTTCGCAATGAACTTTGCCTATTGTGGGTTGCGCTAGAGAAGTTTCTCCTAGTCATCGTCCTTAGTTTGAAAGGCACATACAGAAAGTATAAGAGAGATAGAGATAGAGATAGAGAAATAGAAAGAGAGAGAGAGGGTAGGTTTACGTGCGTGTCTATCTATGTGAGAAGAGTATGAAACGACGGTACCGATAATTCTGATAAGAGCACTCCTGCATGCATGCATCGCACGCCACCACCACCACCACCACCGATGCATATTATATACAGACATGGCGACTGTTACAGGACAAATAGGAACATGCGTGATAGGACAAGTTTGCAAGTTAAATGGTCCATAAACGCTAGTTTGAATTAGTTGCTCTGCACACTTGCTAAATATAACGTAGACCACGTGCAAGTAAATATACCCATCCGTTGGATACTAAAATTCTTTAGATCATTTATTTCTACCATTTCTATTTTATCGTTTAAACATTTCCGACCTATTTCGAGTAAAATCAAAATTACATTTACACATATATTTTTATTAATTAATTACATTTATATTAACTCCACACATATGTGTTCATAATAATGAAAGTGGTCTAAGTCATGTATCTTTTGTTTCGTGTGATATTTAAAGAATTATATTTTAATATTAAAAATGTTAATTCTATATAATATTGAAATAACGAACACTATTTAATGGTTCATTTTTGACAATATATCGTTAAAATTATATTGAATTAATTTAGTTGAAAATAATGCGCTGTGAAATAACTAATAAACTCATTTTTTTTTTTAATTTTGACTTACAATAAGACTACTTTCATAATTATGAGTACATATATATATATATAAATTATAACGATTGGAATGTTGAACATTATTTACGATATTCGTTTATTAGACGATAATAATTTTGTATTGCTGCATTTGTCTTTTCGTATCATTGCAAAAAGAAACGAAACCAACCTTTAGAGGATCTCGAAATGAATTTGATTATTTATTTATCGATCGATATGGAATTACACACGTGAATATTTCATTTGTCCAATTGAAATTTGTCTTTTCTATATCATATATTGTTCGCGAATTTTCTTTATAAGTAAATAAATAATTGATTAAGTTGGAAATATAATCTTGACCGAATATAGAAATAATCGGATAACGTTTAAAGTATTTCTTTTTATCGATTGGGGAACGATAACATTTCCAAAAAGACGTCATTATTTTCCAATGACGTTATTCTTTAATGGTAAAGATTATATCGATTTGTAACAATGTAATTTGATAAGTGTAGAAAAATAATCTTAGAACTATCGGGGGGTATAGGTTTATTTCGTAAAGAAAAAAACGTCATCAATCGTAAGAGATATATCCTGATCCAAGAGACGAAGTAATAGTAGTAGTACTTTCGTAGGGAATGGCCAAGTTCACTTCAGGGACCATCCTCGACCCAGTTGAAAATCCCTTAGGAGGTTCTCTCCCTCTTCCTTCTCCTCCTCCTCACTCCTCCTCCTCCTCCTTCTCCTCCTCCTCCTACAGTTGGTTACATTACGGGGAGTGCTCCAAACTTTAGGAGTAAAAAATAATTTCGTTGGCAATATTCGTACCTTTCCTTGAAAATTCTACCGGCGCGGGGAGATGGGGGTGAGGGTGGTAAGGGTGGGTGAGGGGGTTCTACGAGTGCATTCGTCGACGACCTTTCTCCGGATGAGTCCATCGAAACAAACTTTTCGAGTCTTTTTTCTATATCTTTCTCCGTGTTTTTTTTCTTAAAGAAACAAAAACAAAAAATTCGGAAAAAAAGGAAAACTGAAACATAAAAAAGAGAGGACTCCTCTTTATCAACGGATTAATCATTTTCTCTGTATCCTCGACAACATTTTTCTTCATTAATTATGTTATCTTTCAATCGATATTTTTGGTAAAAGATAAATAAAGAAAGATAAATCCTAAAACTTGTGTGTATAACAATTAATAATCGATTTATTGATTTTATAACACGAAAATGAAAAGTAACGTTTATATTTGACGAGGTGTTTTCTTTTCTTTCTTTCTTTGTTTTTATTTTTTTGGTTTTATTGATAAGAATTACAAACGGGTGAAATAATACGATGACCGAAAATGAGAATATCCATGAAACTTCCGGGATTTGCCCGGAGGAATTTGAGTAAGCCTCGACGAAGCTTCGTAGAATTAATAATGACAAAAGAGAGAAGGAAGAGCGGACAGCTTTGACCAAGCTGAATCACTTGTCTGAACTGTATTTTGTTCATATATATATATGTAACAAACCAACCTATATAATACATATATATTATATATTATATATTGTATGTTACATATGTAAGCTATGTATAAATAAATATATATATATATATATATATGTATGCATGTATATGTCATGATGCCCCATTATGCTTATGAATATAAATGCACCCATGGGGATGCAAGCAATAAATGCCGACCACTGGCCTTGCGGATCTCTGAATTCTGCTTTACTGCACGTAATTCGACTACACGTGCTACCTCTCTCACTCTCTCTCTCCCTCTTTGTATTTTTGTTCTCTCTCTTTTTGTTCGTCTTTTACTTCGAAAAATGTGGAAAACGAAACAAACGACCGGACGTACACTTTTATTTCTTATTCTTTTCTCATTTCTAACATAGCATCCTATAAGTTTCGTATCTATAACATAAGAGAGAGATAGAGAAAATAGAATGTATAATAGAGAAGTAATTAAAACAAAGTAATATTCTGCTGTAGATATTTTCAAGGAGACATACTACGATAGTTAATAAACCATGATTATGTTACTAACGTGCATACCTTTCTAAATTCATATCTTTTTACGTTTAGAAAATTATTATCCGATATATTTCTACTAAACGATTAAAAAAAAAAAAAAACAAGCAATAATGTTACGCAAAAGTTTTGCAATAGTTTAGATAAGTATAGATTTATTTTCTTCACACGATCTATTATATATTATAATAAATTCATATCGTAAAATAATTATCACATTTTTACATGTATTGAATAAATACCTATTATATTTGTATGCGTATTTTTTTTCTAATCAAATTGTTTTCGTAAAAAAAAAAAGAAAGAAAAAAGAAACGAACAAAAAGAGGAAAAACCATTCGTCCAGTATTCCTCGTGCAGTTTTTGTTTTAGTATGCAAGAGCGTGCAGATCTATGGTTCTTTTTTATTTCAATGGTTCCTTTTTTTCCTCTCTCTCTCTCTCTCTCTCTCTCTCTTTCTCTCGCCGATTAACTCGCGCATCCTGACTGATCCTTCTCACACCACAACCCTCTTTGATCCCCCCTAGTCCCGCCCCGCCCCCACCTATCCCCCTCTTCTCGGCCCACTTCTCGCGTGTCCACCAGCTTTACTCGCTCTTGGATCACTTCCAAACGTTTGAATCTGCTTCGCACCTTTCTCCATTTTCGCATACTCCACCTGCATCCCAGTTCCCATCATTTTTACTATCTTCCTTTTTTTTTTCTCTTTCTTTTTTTTCGTCCATCCTTCGGCCGCCTATCTGCGAAAAGCCATTTCCCTTTTATCCGATTTGTCACACTAAATTTCTTTCATTATCATTCTCTTCGATCGAGAAACCCCCTACCCCTTCCCCATGCCACGTTAAAGTACTTTTCCTTTTACCCCCATCGAATTTATCAACGTTACGAGACTTGATCTACTCCCATCACCCCTTTCCCTTCCCTTCCCTTCCCTTCCCTTTTTTTGCCTTTTCATTCAGTTTACGAAATAAGTTAATTCCAGTTTTTTTTTTTTATTTTATTGCTACACAATTAACTGACCGGTTAACTCGTTTTTTTATCCGGATCAATTTTAACGATCGGTCGGTCGTTGTTTTATCTTAAAAAAAATTGTAATGGGAAGACTCTTATCGATAAATATTTTATTTTTATTTGCGAATATTTCAATGAAGGTTGGCCAAATGACTTGTGAGAATTGACTTTCGTTAAAAAAAGAAATCTAATTGTTTAGCCTATAGAGTGGGGAGTGGGAGTGGGGGAAAGGGAGAAATAAATCAATCAATCGAATGAATCGTTGAAAGATTATAGAATTAATTTTGATGATTCGATCAATCATTTTGATTGATCCAATAATTTTGTGATTGATAATTAACCGTGTTATATTATTAATCGAACAATTAACGAAAATTCAATGTAATTCGATTATGTATACAACGATTTAGTTTTGAAATTGTTTTAAAAGGACATTTATAAAGTTTAGACAATGGTCTTTCGTGTGTCCCATGATATTTTTTAACAAATATATTTAGTCTCATTAAAAAAAAGCGAATACACTTCGTAGAAGAATGCATAATGTTATACGAAATATATCGCGTCAAAAATATCAGTCACCCTTAGAAAAGAATTTTTCTTTCCTTTTCTTCAACGATTTTCGCATAACCTATATCAAACGTTTGCATAATTTGCAATTAGATGAAGATTAGAACTTCGGATTGATAGAAAATATTTTTCGAGCATAAACGTGAAAATAAATTATCCTCGCAATCAAATTGAACTTTACGCGTACTTACAATTAAAAAAAAGAAAATATAAATAAAAGTGGAGAAGTTTCGAGAGCTTTTTTTATTATACCACTCGTGAAATTTTCTTTGAATATATTTCTTTTTATAATAGAAGAACGACGCGAGAATCGTGAAAAATATTTCATCTTTTGTTTAACACATCTAATGTAATTAGAATTTTTCTCGTTAAAAGAAAAATACGAGAATCAAAGTTTAAGTCAAAAGAAAATGGACTCCAATCATATTTTCGTTTCTTCTTACAGTTTGCACTCAATTCAGCAGAGGAGTGTACTCGATGTTGGGTGCCGTCAGTCCGGATTCGTTCGACACGCTACATTCCTACAGCAACACATTTCAAATGCCCTTCGTGACGCCATGGTTTCCTGAAAAGGTAAAAAAAAAAAAGGCTCTTCAAAATGTATTCTTTTTTCGATAAATATCAAATTACGATTTAACGATCAAACGTAAACGCGCGAATTGAACCTATCTCTCTCTTTCTTTCTTTCTTTCTTTTTCTTGCAAATCAATCAAAGATCGAAAAACGATATGACGTAGATACGTTTTATCCTGCAAACCTGTTACTTCTTTTTATTCCCAACATTCCATTGTTGGTCCCTGCCAAATGAGGTTAGGCAAAAGTGTGCGCCCCAATAAAACCATGAAACTTTTACCAAAAACCATTCGCTATTCGAGACTCGCTAGTCGAATGGTATACGAGAATAGAAAAACGTGAAAATTTGCTTTTCACGAAGAACCCAGGGAACGATTTTCTTTGCGATACCACACCAATTGATATCTTTCCAATTCAGAGTAATTCGAAATTAATTAACGTTCGATCGATCGATCGTTAACGAAAAATACAAAAGAGAGAGTGTTAAAAGAATAAACGAAAAATAAGAAAAAAATAAAAGAAAGAAATGACTGAAAGAGAGATAGAGATTGGTAGATTAGGGGAGTAGGAGTAGGAGGAGAAGAAGAAGAAGGGGGTTGGTGTTTGTTGGGGAGGGGGGTGTGGGGTAGAATGGCACATCCTGCACAGCAATCAGATACGCATAATAGGGGATCGTTCGTACAAATAAATATATGTATGAAACGTATGGGTGTGTATCAAACTACGTGTGACTAGAGATGCAAAAGTCGATGGGGGGGGGAGTTACGTGTGTAAGTGTATTCCCTGTATATATAGTATGTAATACACGATCTGCGCATATTACAATTTGAATTTCCAAATGAATTGGCTGGTACGAAATTTATCCGGGCGAATCGCGACACGTTGCATTTATCGTACCGATATCGAACGCTTTCAGAACCGATACACCATCCAACCCTTTCCTTCTCTCTCTCACTCTCTCTCACTCTCTCTCTCTCTCTCTCTTTATTCGTATGTACCAAAATTTATACGCTAGCGACTGTGAAACGTAGTAGCAATACATGTAAACGCATCGAACATGCTGAATTCACATAGAACAACACACCGAGGAGATGTCTGTCGCGAATAAGTTTCGTTTCCAACTCACTATCTCTCTCTCTCTCTCTCATTCACTCACATTCGTGTTAGTGTTTTTACGGTGATGCATATATAGAGAGAGAGAGAGAGAGATACGATCTGCGCAACACCGAGAGTAACGAACGTCGATGTCGTTTAAATGCTAATCTCCCTGTAATGCTGATTCGACGGTACGCTTTTTCGTTCGAATCGTGGTTTCCCCTACTCTCCTTGTATTCGTTTACAAAATAAAAAAAAAGAAACAAGTAAGTACGATTGATCGAAAGAATCTATCTTCTTCTTTTTACGATTTATATCGATATAAACGAATACAAATAAACAAAAAAGAAAAGAAATCTATAAAAAGATTAATGAAAATTATTATATTATATTATATTATACACACACAAAAATGATAGATTGAAAATTTTGATTTGTAGGTACTGACACCATCATCAGGTCTCTTGGATTTTGCCATAAGTATGCGTCCGGATTACCATCGTGCCATTATCGACACGGTCCGATACTACGGTTGGAAGAAAATCATCTACCTTTATGACTCCCACGACGGTGAGTCCTCTTAACTCATGCGACTTTCTCATGCATTTTTCTTTTCAACCATGAATACAATATATACATATATAT